ATTATCAAATCGCACCTTCTTTAGGGCAACCATTTTACCATTTCCGATATCACGTGCTCGGTAAACACTGCTATATGTACCTTGTCCAATCTACAGATGATGAAAGAAGAAAGAATCTTCGTAAGAAGAAAATAATTTACATTAGTAGGGCGATAATGTACCACTAAAATTACCAGACAAAGCTAAGTATTAAACTAAGAAGCCAAAGTCAAGATATGTAGCTAAATTCCTCAATATTAAGTTATAAACCATATCACACCTATATCCCAGCTCAGATCTGACTCAATCTCGCACTGTTATTATATCTCTACGGTTTTCTTCAGATTAACAACTCTGACTATAAGCTTTTCTTTCTCCAGAGGTAACATAAGGGAACTACAAGTAAAGCAGAATTCAAAGGTATTTTCAGTTCATTATAGACCTTGTAATTCCTAATAACTGGAAGTAGCGTGTGGATCACATGCAAGTTCAGATTGAAAGATAAGGATGGCAAGTAAAAGCAAAAAAAAAATCCCTCCTCTTTTGGGGAGGATCAAGTTTATTAAAATGCTACCATGAGAGGGGTTAAAGAAATGGTAAATTATAGTCTCAGCAAAAACAAACTGGCTAAAATATGCACAGAACTTTTAGCCAATTACTCAAATTGAAAGGCTGATAATTGAGTAGGAACTGATGAGAAAGAATGATGTGGCGCAGATTTCTCTCAGACACTTGTTCATCAAAAATAACCTTGATAGAATAACTGAAGATTTTCAATTAATTAACTATGCGTCATTCCCAAATTAGTTTTGCATCAACCATAAAAATCCTCTGTATCTAACTGCTCCTTATTAGATGCATCAACCAATTTTAGATAACCTCGCCTATATGTGTTTCAAAACATCCTAAAAGAGGAAGGTTATGGAAGGTTGATGCCAGTGTAAAAATAGTCAAACTATGATTAAAGCCGAGATTTTAATGATCTAATGAGATTCCCTTAGATTCTGTCAGTAGGCTTCCTTACATGATTGATTACAGTAAAATAGGAGACCATGACTTGAAGTAATACCTAATCTATAAATGGCGTATGCAGGAGTTAATGCTAACATGAAGCACCACAATATTCGTCTTTTTGGGGTTAATGTTTGCAATGGTGCCTTTTCCTTCTGCAACGGAATGGAAGAAAAGTAATGGAACTGCTATTGAAAGGATAACCTTTTTATGTTGCATACACAGATGAATACAAATTTGTAAAATCAAGAATACAAGGAATCATATCTTTATTAGGAAAACATTGATTACCTTTTCTAATTTCTGGAACATGTTTGATTTCAGAGGCATCCATCCATCAATGGCTTCACCGGCAACGGCAGTCAGCCAAACGGGCCATCCGGCGGCCAAATGTTCACCTTCAGTTAACCTTCCAAATTTGATGCTAAAACTAGCCGCCTTTTTATCAGAATTTCCCTTCTTGGATGCTCTCAATTTTCCCGAAAATCGTCTGACGGAATCCTCCCCCTCTTTCTCAGGCTCCTCTTTGATCTTCTCCAAAGGGGCAAATCCAATATGCAATAATGGATCGACATTCCCTACACTGGCGACATTCACCGACGAATCGTGAGGCGGGGAATGGGACGTGGCTTGCTTGGAGCTGACGCAACCCATGACCCCTCAAAACCCATAAATGAATTCGATCCAGTTGGGAGAGACCCCAGATCGACCCGTATATAAAACGGGTCAAGGGAAGTGAAAGTAATGGGTGCGCGAAAAAGGGTCTCTCCCCAAATTAGCTCATTGTATCTGCGAAAAAAAGATTTGTTTTCATAAAATTGATCTGAGAAAAGAGGTAATAGTTTGAGGTGGAGGAGAACAGAGAGTTGGGATTCCTTCTCTTTCCTTTGCGTGATATGCGGAGATGAAAAAAGAAGGATTTGAAAAGGAGGCCAAGAAATTAGAGTTGGTGTCGAGCGATGCGAAAGCAGAGGAACAACAGAGAAACAAGAAAGAGAAAAATATTGTGTGGTTGTATTTGTGGGTCCAAGATTCAAGAATCATCATCATCATCACCAACATCATCTTTTTCTTTTGTTTTTTCACTTTGTCTGTTGAGACCAATTCATACGCCATTTTTACAAAACTTTCATTCTTTATACACAGAAAAAGAGAGGCAAATTGCCGCATAGGTAAAAGTAGCCGTTAGGAGTTCGTTTTCTTTCCTTCTCTTCTTTTTTTTGTTGTGTTGCTTTTTCTTTTACTCGCTGGGGTCCTGTGCTGGTGAGCTGCTGCTGCTTATCCAATAAACAAGCCAACTGCTCAACAACTCATCACTATCTTCAGATTATTGAGTAATCATAGTGGCAAAATAATTGTTCAGACTTTGACTGAAAGACAGAACGTCATGTTTTTTTGGACAGATAGTAGTGTATAATATTTTTATCAGTATATTGTTATACTTTCTAGATTACCACATATAAAGAATTGCAAGCTGTTCTTATATGTTAATTATATTATAGAGCTCATGAACTGTCTTTGAGTGCATTAAACTTAATACGAGTCTAGGGGCGGAGATAGAGGATAGCAAGAGGTTCACCTAATTCTGCTTGGCGAAAAATTATATTGTATATAAAAGTATTTTAATTTTATTTTTATTTTTTTGGTAACCAATGTAAAATATTACCATTACCACAAAATACCAGTACAAATAAAAAGCACCCATTTCTGATATAAAAAACTAGGCCTCCAACAAACAAGAAAACTAACTACCAAGTAATCGAATAAACTATTTACATTTTTGTGCTTTCCTTGAACTACTGAAGAACTGTACTCTCTCTATAATCTCTTTTTTTATCTGAGCTACTGCCTCCTCTGTATGTACATGCTTCCCTTTAAACTTTTTCCAGTTTCTTGCACGCCATGTGTGGTAGAGAATAGCCCCACATATAGCTGCAAATGTCTCTTTCTGAAACTGTTTCCAATGCTTCCTGTTTGCTCTCTCCAAAACCTGTTTAATCCCATTGTTTGTCATTGTTATGCCTGTCCACTGTGTTATCCCCTGCCATACATCTTTTAGCCATTTACATGTCTCAAATAAATGCACATTAGTCTCCATTACCTTTTCCTCACAAAGGCAGCAATCAGAGTCATCAACTTGGATGTGCAATTTCTATTTACGTTCCTGTGTGAGTAATCTCCCTTGTATAGCCAGCCACACCATAAATCTATGCTTTGGAATAGCCACTGTAGTCCACACTAAATCTGTGATTCTCATTTGTGGTCTATGTCCTATGATTGCTAAATAGCTTCTTGTGATAGAATAGGTACCATTTGATGTCAGAATATATCTACCCTGGCTATACCAGCCATGCATCTGTTCCATTATTGCATTAAGCTTCCTCCAATACCAACTACTATCAATAGGTGCCCTGTTACTCCATATCGAGGTTTTCTCTCTAAGATAAATTCTATGTACCCATTTTACCCACAAGGTTTCCTTATTCATTACAATCTGCCATACTAACTGTCCCACTGATGCAATGTTCCAGCTGCTACTGCCCTTGATATTTAGACCACCTTGTTTTTTTGGATAACACACCTTCTCCCAAGATACCAAAGCTACCTTCTTCTTTTTTTCATCAGAATTTCCCCACAAATAGGCCCTGCATATCTTATAAATTTCTTTAAGTACACTTTGGGGGAGGATGAATACTGCCCCCCAGAAGCTATGTATGGAGAATAGGACTGCATTGATCACTTGTAGTCTACCAGCATATGAAAGTTGTTTAGAGTATGTAACTTTAATCCTCTGCGTAATTTTGGCAATCAGGGACCAATATTCTATTTTCGTCCACTTTTTAGGAGATAGAGGAAGACCAAGATATTTAATAGGGAATTCACCAACTGAAAAACCAGTTCTTGCTAGAATCTGATTTTTTGTGTCTTCATCCACCCCAACTAAGAATACACTTGACTTCTCCAGGTTTGCCTCCAATCCAGTGGCAGCACTAAAATGAGTTAAGGCCTCCATTACTCTATTCACTGAGTTCAAATTTCCTTTACAAAAAATCATTAAATCATTAGCAAAAATCAGGTGAGTGAGCTTCACTTTCTTGCACATGGGATGATACCTGAAATCTGGTAACATACTCATGTTCTGTAATGTTCTAGATAGGTATTCCATCACTAAGACAAATAGCAAAGGGGACATAGGGTCTCCCTGCCTCAAACCTCTCCTCCCCGCAAAGTAACCATGATTTTCCCCGTTAACTTTCACTGAGAACATGGTAGTGGAAACACATGTCATGATCCATTTGATGAACTTATCAGGAAATCCAAATCCAGCTAACACCTCTTCAAGAAAATCCCAACTTACCATATCATAAGCTTTCCTTAGATCTATTTTCATAAGACACCTAGGAGATACATTCTTTCTATTGTAATGTCTCAAGATATCATGACATATCAACACATTATGCATCATTGATCGACCCTGTACAAAAGCTGATTGGTTTTCTGCCACTATATATCTAATTGCAGTTTTCAATCTACTGCATATTAGTTTGGAAATACACTTGTAGATCACATTACAGCAAGATATTGGCCTGAATTGACTAGCAAATTCTGGTACATCAATCTTTGGAATAAGAGCAATACTTGTGGAGTTAATAAAAGTATTTTAATTTTTATTATGTATATATATGTTTTTTTTTTTGACCTCCTAAATATAGCATTAGTGGTTGAAGTCTTAAAGATTCACAGTGAGGTTCCAAGTTCAAATTAGGTGTGGAGGAACTATCAAGAGATGCAAACGAATTATGGTATCAAAAGTTGACAACTTTGCTTGAATAAGCTCCTTTATTCTTCTGGACTAGAGTTTGAAGCCTGGCCCAGGAAGCTTCAACGACAAGGACAAACTATTACACCTTTTCTTTTTTTTCGTTGCTTTATTAGACATCTTAGAAACTAGCAATAGAATTTACAAATATTTCTTGAGACCAACCAACAAATTCAAGGGACCAAGCATGTGGTTTTCAACAAGGATAGATTTATTAATTATAAGCTTTTTGTACAGAAGTAAGAAGCTCAAACCACATCTACTTTTCCTAATGCTGCAATCTTTTCACACAAGGGAATTTCGTTGTTTTCGGAAACCAAGATATTTTTGTGAACTGAAGGCCTTCATGTCACAGTTTCTTACGTTTTCAATGCTATCTTTGGCTGTATTTATTCCTCGTTCCTCTATTCCTAACAGTAGGAATATCATGATTATGCTTGCCGTCATATGTTGTTATGACAGCTTTTGGATCAGTTGAAGCCCTCTCGACTTGTTTGCGGACATTGCATCCAGGATATGTGCACCGATAGTAACTCCTGTATATCAAGTTTAGATGCATAAGCGGATTATTCATGTCATCTAACAAAACAACAGGACACATCACACATGTGAAAACATATTCTGGAAGGACAAAGAACTAGTATTGCTCAAACAAGACACTGCAGCTGATTATAGCACTTAATTCTAATCTCTAGAGAATCTTACTGCACTTGTTTGTTCTAATGACTAATCATAGATTTCTAAATTCTGCCACATGCTTTCGCATAAAAATTCATACATTTGGTTCTTCCTGTTTCGTAAGAAATGTTATCAGTGTTGAGTAAACCTCTGGTGACTTTCTTAACTACATTGTGGAAGTTTCCTCTCGTATGGGACTTCATAATGTATCCATTTCAAACTATAGTTTGTAAAATCAAGATAGACACAAATTTTGAACTATTGTTTTGGTATACTTAAGAAATTCAAGGAGATAACCTAACATCATTTCCTGAAGAGTTCACGAAAAAGCACTATACATGCACACACAAGTTCTTTAGTATAACTAACTTTACACTAAACAAGACTCGTGCACAACAGCAACTAACATCAAATTGAAAAAAAAAATCGTGCAGTCAGAAGATATGTAGACTATATAGGTACCTTGGATGCTGAGTCCCCTTTACCACCTTCTGCCCATATTTTCGCCATTTGTACCCGTCATCTAAGAAATCAACTTCACTTCTCGTCTGCAGAACAATCTTGGATTCAGCTACTGTAACATGTGATGAAGCTACAGGCATAACTGCCGTCTTCCTGTGACATAGTAACTGAATTAGATACATACTTTTGTTGCTCTACAATTTTTTTTCTTGTTTTACAAAAGAAGGATGGGGAATTGTTTACTCATGAAAGGAGAACTCACATTCTCTTTGCATCTGGTTCATCATGCCCTTCATCATCTACGTCTATCAAATAGCTTTCGGTTTCATCACATTCTCTTTTGACAAGAAGTTCAGATGCCATTTGGGTTGGAACCTGGTCAGAACGAGACGGAGAATACCCATCCGAGCTATTCATTACTGTCCAATCATGTGTACTAATATCTGGTCGAACTCCAAAGCAGTCTGTATTATCCAAAGCAGAACCATTTTTTCTTTGTTTGGTTGGTTGATCATGGTTGTGCCGGCCATTATATGTTATCTCAGTTATGTGACCATCAACAGACCGCTCAACCTTCTTCTTCACTAGACATTTGAGATGTGTGCACTTATAGTAGCTCCTAGGGCATTCACTAGCTTTAACCTTTTTCTGGCCATATTTTCTCCAGTTATAACCATCACAAGCTGGCTTATCGAGAGCACCAAAGGAGGTCTTGTTCTCAGATTGAGAAACCTCCGGTTGTTCAAATTGCTTACCCTGATTGTCTGATGGTTTGTTATCCAAACTAGTTCGCAGACATTCCTTTATCTGCAAAGAAAACTCATTTGGATCAATCGACAACTCATGTCCTAATGCTTCTACTGAAGCCACCTGAGAGGAACACTGATCTTCGGCTTGCATATATGAACTAGAAAATTCAGCCTGTGCTGTAACATGTGCTAGAGCCTGCTGATGTGACATTCCAAAGGGACTCTGCAATCAAATTGAAACCATAAGTAACCACATAAGGCTAAAAGTAATGTTGATGACTTTTAGTTTAACTATTTCTATAACCAACTCAGAAACAGTTTCTCTACCGCACAAAGGTAGGGGTAAGGTCTACATTCACCCAACTCTCCCCATGTGTTTCTATAACACAAATATAAAGTTTGAACCAAAATTACTGAATTTTACCGAACTCATAACTCCAATACTAGCTCCGTAACAAAAACATGTTTTTAGGATAAAATTTAGCAAAGTAGCAACATCACTAAATCAAAACATAAAAGAAAAAAAAAAGCAAATCTTTGGGTATTATTGATTTATTATTGCAAGTGAAATGAAGAATTGAGTGGATTATATATACCTGAAGTGGGGAAAGAAAGCCAGGAGAATTAAGGAATCCAGAAGGACTCAAACCAGAGGGAATCATGAACAATTGAGGATTCACAGGGTTATACACAGAGTTGTTTTGACACCCTGCAAGATCTCCAGAATATTCGTATCCGGCGAGAAGCTGGGAGAAAGAAGGAGGACAATCTGCAGAATCAGGGCTCTGATCAGATAAGAAACTGGAAACAAGAGACATTGGACCTGGGCTGAAAGAAGACATGTTAAAAAAGGATTCGAATGAAGGGCGAGGTGGAATTGTTAAAGATGGAAACGATATTGCTGAAGCTTCCCCTGTTTCCCCCATTTTCAGTCTTCTTCTTCTTCTCAAGAGAAAAAAAAAGAGAAGAAAGTGGAGTTGCTTTTCCTGCTATCCCTTTCGTTCTGATGTGTATATATATTGGTGGAGTATATGATGGGGGCTGCACTCGTCACTCCTCATTCGTCAATATACATAGAGATATTTTATTAGACGCGAAATCATGATTTGAAGTTTATTACTAACTTGAGTTATAGTTAAGTTAGTTACTTATTGAGTGTACAAAATTTGGATAAAAGTTATCCGATTTGGTCAAACACAAAATGTGCACATTTAGAGTCGGTTTGGATTGCCTTATTTTGCTATTTTATAGTCAAAATAACTTGTAAGTATTTTAAGTTAGAGCCAGTTTGGATCAAACTTGTTTGGCTAAAAGTTTAATTGGATTGGAAGGAGGGAATGTATTTTACTTCTTTTGTACTCATGTTTTAAACTGTTTTTCAACATTTTTTTGAAAACTTTTTTCCAAATTGTTAGTAGAAGTAGTGTTTGGCAGACTGGCTAATTGTTACTCCATTTGGTGGGAGTTGGCACAACTATAAATAGCTCAAGATTTACTATTTCACATTAACTGAAATTCAAGATTTTTTATTGGCTTATAAAAGTTTTTTGACAAATCCAAATTAGGTAGTAGGACTAATATGATTTCAACTAGTACTCCCCCAAAAAGTATAAGATGTCAAATTAGTGAGTAATGGTAAGATGTTTTAACTTCCCTAAATTAAAATACTCCCTGTGTCCCTAATTACTTGTCCACTTTTTTTTTTATAGTTGTTCTTAATTACTTGTTCATTTTGACAAATCAAGAAATGACAAATTTTTTTTACCTATTATACCCTCAATTAAATGATTAATTATTTTGAAAAATACAAAACTTTTCATCCACTTCATAATTAATAAAGGTAAAATGATAAACTGAGGCAATTGATTGTTAATATCTGGACTGGAGTAGAGGAGTAGTGTATTTTCAAGTTGCCAACAAAAGGATAAGATGTCAGGCTAGTGGGCTAAAAGGGGTCTAAATAAAGAGTACTACACATTGGATATACAATGAATTGTTTACCTACCAACTGCCACTTGGGAGAAGTCGATACCTCCACTTTCTTAATACTTCCCTCTGTTTTCATAAAAGTGGTTTTCTAAAATGGAACGACAAACCTCCTCACTTCTAATTTGATAAGATTGTGAGTTCGAATCATTAAAAAAATAAAAATATGAGAATTCTTAACAAGGGATAAAAAATTGGACACCATCCATCCGTTAAAAAGTTATCTACTTGCAGAAAATAAGAAGTATTTTATTTACAAAATTAATATCTTTTTGATTTACGAAATATTTTTCGTTTTGAAATAAAATGAAAGGATAAAAAAATATCCGTTATTTTAAAATGGAGGGAGTACTTTTTATATGGTATATATTGCTAGTTCAAATAATTTTTGTATGAAATATCTGGTAGTTCAATTAGTTAGTTGAACTTCACCTTATTTGGTAAAAATTTGATTTCTCAAAATGCATACAATAGTTTAACCCAACAAGATAAAAATATACAACAAAGCAAATGATATCTAATTGGGGAGTAATAAATGGAAATTAATCAAGAAGAGAGTCGGCTGATAGAAAAGAAAATACGAATTAATATACCTACTATATTATTTCAGAAAATTTTAGAAGAAAAAAAGGGAAAATATGTATGTCGGGTATACGTCATTCTTAGCTTGGAATAAACACATAACGTAACATATGGTCCAGGGCAACTGCATCAGCATCTCATAAGGTGCAAGCTAGTGGCATTTTCCTCACAAATAAAGTCATTTTTTGTCCTCTAGCTATCACAATAACTCAATAAAGCCTGTCTTTTCTGACAAGAGGCAAGTTCCCACTTAATCCAGTAAAGCTGAAAGATAACCCAATCATAAATATTGGGTACAATCTTTTAAGCTCAGTAAACAGGGTCATGACTCGTGTGCACGAGCCTACATAACCTTAACGGAGTATAAATAATTTTCTTGACACAGGAGATCTCCAAGTTAGACCCAGACGCAATGAAATTCACTGTGGCTTGGTCAGGGGAATTCTATATACATTTGGTTGGACATCAATCAGCACCAATCAGATAATAACGTCACACAATTATTGTAAAATAAAAATTGATAGATACAATGGATACTACAATGGTGATTGTACCCAGGAAAAATGGTTCATGCGGGAGCAGAATATGGTGCCTGAAGCAGATCTTTTTGAATCAGGGGAAATAACTCAGACTTTGGACTCGATGAAATATGTAGATGAAACAGCAAAGCCCTCTACATCGTAAGTGCGAATAAGTCTTTGTCTCTTGCCAGGAGATTCAAGCCAACAAAACTCAACATGAAATGCTGTGGATTCTTGCACATTCTTGGCCACATCAGATGGGTACCCCATGTAAATGCCCCCAGGCAACAGAGTAAGCTGGAAACCACCGTCGAAAGTCACTAGGTTTTCGGACATGGTACCGATCCAATGTACATTCGTTGTAATATTAGTAGCACCAGAAGTAGACGTGATATCCTTGATTTAAGAAGGAAATTATATTAGCAACCAAAAGCTAAGACCAAAGATATTCATTTCAGCGCCTGATATAAATAAATAAATAAATAAATAAAGCAAAATGAGAAATCACAACTTTCCCCACCCTCCCATCTTTTTTTGATAATTAACTTGAGACGCCAACAAGAGAGAAACAGTTTTTGCTAAAGGGTTGAAAAACAAAAAAGAGAGTTGAGAACCATTCTAATTTAGTGTTAATTATCCTCCTTCAGGAAAAACAACAAATGGAATCTCCATATCTGAGCTAAGCTTATGGTGACAACTCCATTCTACCAATGCATTTGTGTTTCATATAGAGCAGAGGATCATCCAGACGGCAAATTCATCATATCTTTGAACTATTTCAAATTCATTTCTCAAAGAAGTTGCATGAAAGAGAGATTCCATTTACTATCCAAGTGTAACTGGGCAGGTGACCCTTTCGTGGATACTAGTAGTTCACCATTACTTAACGATCGGATACAAGGAACTGATTGCAAGGAGCTAACAAACCTGAACTAGCTGTCCGTCCTTGTCAAATTCAAGAACAGCAGTTGTATTTGCTTCACTAATTGTTGCTCCATAAACACCAGTACGTGTTGTTCGCGAATGACCTTTCCAAGTTCCAAGATGAGGCAGAATTCTTTCAGTATCCTCCTACAAGATGACCATGGAATGCATAAGAACAATCATTTGGTTCTGGTAACTAACATGTTGAATCAAACTATGTTTAGGTAGTCCAAACGAAGAATAGAAGGGCAACCCTTCCCCTTTCAAGTCAAAATTACCTTGAAATTGTCAAAGGAGGGAGGAATGGCCTCTCCATTACCTCTTTCTTCAAGGAAAACTAAAATCATTTCCAGTATTCCTTTCGGGTCCATTATATGAAACGCTCTCACTCGCCTATCTTTCTCCAGTGAATAAAGACAATTTTCACATACAATAGAAGGCCGTTTAGAGGGAAGCTTCAGATTTCTGTGAAAGAAAAGAAGGAATTATAGAATGATATTAACACATTCAAAGCCTGGAACCAAAAGATAAAGCTAATAAAAAAATATGAATCAGTCCTTCATGAGAAAAGATCCCGTGCAATGTACATAACCTTTGCAATTGGATATTAGAAGACGGTCTATAATTTCTAATATGAAAGTCAGAAGCAATAATATGCCATCTAATTGATCTGATGAAGCTTATGAGATGTCCAAGATCCACCAATATTTATTTGCTAGTAGGAAAGATCTACTAATGAATGCTTAATTGTATGAGATTCTTTTACATAGTTGATATCTTTTAAGTTGGGAACTAATTACTGCTATGATGTGAGGATTATTTACATATTGATCGTCTTATTTGCCTTTTGGAGTTTGTTTACTCAAATTCTTAGGCATTGGTCTTTTTGGTTTGTTTTAGTACAAGGTGAAAACTGAATATGTTTGAAAACATCAGTGATAAGCACACAGACCAGAACAGAGCCAAGGCGAAAAGTGAGAAACAGCAACATTAAGGTCATACTGGGTAGCATTTCCAAAATAAAGCTAGCAGCAAAATATATGCATAATTTCAACCTTTGATCTCATCAGAACTGATATTTTAACTTATCGATTGAGTCATCTCCACGTAAGAAACATTTACCTTGGTGATTCTTCTCCGATATCATCTTCACCTAGCACTCCCTGTCTCAACACAGTCTCCAACATGCCAGCAGTCTGATATCTTAGTGCGTATGCCTTCTCCTTGGGGAAGAAGCCAATCTGCAAACTACTTTTAGTGGTACCTCAAATGCAATAAAATCTGACAAGAAAAAGAAACTACAGATAACAATCTTAATTAAGTATGACCAGTGAGTGGATATAAGTTAGTTCTCTGTCTTAGTGAAGCTCACCTGTTGATATTTGTCCACGGTAAACATGTTGGTCTCTTTGATTTTGTACTCAAACCACTCTGACTCACAATCATCGCCAGAAAATGAAGTGGTAGATGGAGGTTGTTTGATGTATAACCTAAAATTTTGAAGCCGATTAGTCCACTTGTTTCCCAGACCACAAAGTGAACACATATTACAGTACCCAAAGTTAATGAAGAAACCCTATACATTAGTGTCCACTGTTAACTAATTTTATGCGGATAAAAAAGCAAACATCCGGAAACTAAAGGGGCTTATGAATCAGAGAGACATGTGTGAATTTGGCCTCCTTAATTGTTGCTCCAAATTTACTGTATTTAAACCAGTGGAAGAATTTGAGCTTTGGGCTGACAAAATCTACTTGCACTTAAAGATATGCATGCCATTAAATGGAAAATTTCTCAAAATTCACAAACAAGAAAAAGAGAAATTCACCTGGATTTCTATATACTCCCTAAAGTTCACCTACATACGATTAAACTATAACCATATAACATGAAGTGTAAACATTGAAATTTCCGTGGTATTCTCCTCAATTCTAATGATTTAACTTTACCTTAATCTCAAAGAGTTTTTTAACTTCAGATGACTAACAACTGCCTTTAGTTTTATTTAA